TGTGTGAGCTTGACATATGGCGGCATTCAGCCAGTTCCTTCCCTGTTGTCTCAAAATCACCCGGGCATCCATGAGTGGAGCCATTCAAGCCATCGTGTAAGACCATTGTGGCATTTGTTTGCAAGGCCTATGCGGTATTAGTCTTGCTTGTGGGTCACTGCAGACAATGACAGTGTTGCAGGCCTACCAAGCAGAACTGCTGTGTGAGCTTGACATATGGCGGCATTTAGCCAGTTCCTTCCCTGTTGTCTCAAAATCACCCGGGCATCCATGAGTGGAGCCCGGGTCAGCACTAGTGCAAGGGAGACCCAGAAGGGAAGTATGGCATCCCACCAACCCCCGCAGACAACCTGGGGAACCCAGCGGCCACAGTCATGGCCTGCTACTAGGCCTGATCTGAGAATGGTCATAAAGGCCAAGCAGGCAGAGAAGAGCGGTCCTGAGGGGCCATGGAGGGACGTATCAGGGACATGAGGTTGTTAAGGCAGTTAGCCCCCGTGGTTACTGTAGGGCCTCCCCTAGCCAAGGCTGTCCAAAGTTTTCAGTGTTCTCTGGTCAGCGAGCTGTCACAGGGCAATGGAAATCTGATGCTTTCTCTCCAATAGAATGTGGAATAGTTAACGTCACTAAAAGACAATCTGGCAGTGTGGAAACTACTGCCAAATGTGTCTCCATGGGTTCTGTCTACTGCGGAAAAGGGTTACCAGGTCCAGTTTATAGCTCGACCCCGCTGGTTCAGAGGTGTGCTCACCACAGTAGTCAGCACAGACCAGAGCCCGATGTTAGTGCAGGAAGTAAGAGCCCTCTTGGACAAAGGGGCCATAGAACATGTAACCCGTTCTCTAAGGGAGGGAGGTTTTTACAGCCGTTATTTCCTGGTCCGCAAAAAATAGGAGTATGGGGCCAATTTTAGATCTGCGTCATCTGAACTATACTCTTCGGACATACAGGTTCAAGATGCTGACACCAAACATATCGTACCACAGATTTAGTTTGAGGACTGGTTTGTGACAATAGTTCTAAAAGGTGCATATTTCCACATAGAAATATCGCTAGCTTTATCCCCTTGCACCTTCACAAAGTGCATGGATGTCACTCTGGCTCCATTGTGACTCCAGGGCATCCGTGTACTAAACTACCTAGATGACTGTTTAATTCTAGCACGATGCAGGGAACTGGCGGTCCAACATCGAGATGTTATTCTTGCCTACATGAATTTCCTGGGGCTCAGGTTGAACATCAGAAAATTATGCTTTCCGCAGTGCAGTGGACAACTTTTCTAGGGGTTATAAGGATTCTACTATGATGAGGGCGTTTCTATCCCCAACATGCGTAGGGTCAATCCTATCAACACTGAGCAAGATAAAGCCCCGGTTTCTGTCCTTGGGTCAAAATCTATGGGTGTCTCCTTAGTGCAAGATGGTAATGACAGACAGCGCCCTCACGGGCTGGAGCACAGTTTTAGACAGCTGTCCAGCTCACGGTCTCAGGTGTGGCCCTCATCTGGAGCAGCATATAAATTGCCAAGAAATGTGGGCCATATTTCTAGCACTGAAACTCCTTCTTGCTCTATTGAGATGTCGTAATGTGTTTACAGACAATACACCGGTGGTCCATATATTGACCACCAGGGAGGATTATGTCTGTACCCCGTGTTCAGGCCGGGGCAACTAATTCTTCTCTGGCAGAAGGAAAGTTTGTCAGTGAATGCGATGTACATTCTGGAAACATTTAGCCAGCTCGAATATGGTTCTCAGAGATAATATCCCTGCTAGATGGCACTCCTTGGAAGATTCCCATCCACAGGGATCCACAGTAGACTCAGTGAACTGTGCAATAGCTACAGTTCTGAAGTACTTACAAGGACATTTCTTCTCTTTCTACAATCAATGTTTACATGGTTTATACATGGTGTCAGGCTGCTGAGGCCCATCTGCAGGCTGCACATACTTTCCTGGGAACTTTCTGTGGTCCTGTTAGGTCTTTCAGGTGCCCCATTTGAGCCCTTAGAGTGGATCTACTGTTTCAAGCCATTTATCACCCTCAGCCAGAACTATGGAAACTGTGGGTCTGCCCCTGAGGGGCACCAGCTCATAGATTCTGTTGATTATGTTAAATGCTAGAACACCATCCACAAGGAAAAGTGGCAGCTTTTTGTCTTGTGGTGTGAGGAATTTCAGCTAGACCCACTGAACTGCACAATAGCTACAGTCCTGGAGTTCTTACAAAAATGTTTCTCAGCGGGGTGGGCTCCTTCTACAGTCAGGGTTTATGTGGCCGCCATTTTGTCCACCCATGCCCCTGTTGATGGATCCACTGTGGTGCAACGTCCTCTAACTTTGAGGTTCATGTGTGGTGTCAGGCAGCTGAGGCCGATCTGCAGGCCGCACGTACCTTCCTGGGAACTTTCTGTTGTCCTGGAAAGTCTGTCAGAGGCCCCATTATAGCACTTAAAGCCAGCCTCTGAGAAGCTTCTGACTCTAAAGGTAGCTCTCTCTGTTGCCCCTTCCTGCATTGACTTTGCCGATGGATTAGCCAAGGCCTTCCTGTATCCTATGCTGGATTATATTCCTAAAGAGCCTACATCGGCTGCGCACCCTGTGGTGTTGCAAGCTTTCTGCCCTCCTCCATTCCCCACACTGGAACAAGAGGAACACCTGCTGTGTCCAGAAAGGACTCTCTGTACTTCCGTCCACCATTCTGGCCTGTGGCGTAAGTTGGAGCAGCTCTTGGTCTGCTTTGGCGGCGACAGTAGAGGTGATGCTGTGTCAAAGCAGTGCATCTCTAATTGGATAGTGGAAGCAATTTCTATTGCCTATGAGGCGCATGGTCTCGCTACACCACTGGACATAAGTTTTCATTCCACTTGGGCGGTCACCTCCAAGAAGGCTTTGTGCAAATGGGTATCCTTACAGGATGTGTGTGCTTCTGCAGGGTGGTCTACGCCATACACATTCATTCGTTATTGCAGCCTGGATATTCATTACACCCCAGGCTCGAGTGTCTTGCAGTGACACTCAGGCTTGGGTCTTTTTGAACAGGCCGTACCCTCAGTATGACTGGGTGGGTATTCTCGTTCCCATAGAGTAAAGCTAAACGCAACGTCGTATGTCTGGGTTAAGCATGTAACCTGTTTCCTGAGAAGCGAACGAGATGTTGCGTAGCTTTGTAATACCAGGGCAGGCCTGTGAATTGCATCATTGTTTCAGATAATAAAGGCTGATGGCATGGTTCATAGGTGCCATATTTATATCACGCGATGCGCTTAATTGCCACGTCACTTGATCATGGCAGGCCTATAATTAGGCATGATTTTACACAAGCTTCAGTCATTGGTCGCATGTGAGAGGCGCTGCCACAGTGTTATGCTAAACGCAACGTCTCGTTCCCTTCTCAGGGAATAGGGTTACATGCGTAACCCAGATGTTTCCTTTGGGGGTTTCCTCTTTTTCCTCCCAATTCAAAAGAAATACATTGTAGGCTGAATGGCATTTCCAAATTGTCTGCTGTGTGTGTGAATGGGGGTGTGAATGTCTGTGTGATTGTGTCCTGTGATGGGTTGGATGGGTGGGTTGCCAAGTTCCCTGGGATAGGGACACTTCTACACTAAAACTGTGTACTGTTTGGCGCTACACTGTTACTTACTGTGCGTGTTGTCCTATTTTAGTAGTACTGTACTGTCATGTTGTTAGCACATTTTTGCACGTGCACTTTATGTAAAAATGTGCAGATCTTTTTTAGTTCTGTGTCGTCTCATGTGGTTAGTGTGTTTTATGTGGCACCATGGTCTTGGAAGTACATTGTTTTGTGTCACTGTGTACTACACCAGCTGTATATGGTTGAAATGACAATAAAGCCACTTGAACTTGAACTTCCCTGTTGTAGTGCTCCTGTTTTTCGATTGCATGCAGGAATATTGATTCTGGTACCATTTCAACACAGCAAGAGATTCAACAATCAGCTGACAAAAATGAGGTCTTTGCATACCATTTTCATCACTTTCTGATATCACCAAGAACGATGGGTTCCCTTTTGAGTCTGATCCTCTCAAGGTTTCTCCCTTATGTTGTCTCGGGGACTTTTTCCTCACCACTGTCAGCTCTGGCTTGCTCATTAGGTGTCTAGATCTACATCCAGATTTCTGGTTCATGACGCAGTCTATTGTTAAAAGCGCAATACAAATAAAATTGAATCAAACTAAATTTAGCAATAAGATTTTTAAATACTTAATTAGCCAGGGAAATCTTAAGTACCGTAACCATTTCATTCAGACTTTTTGTGTTTCTTTCTGGGGTTTTTTCTCTTTCTGTCTGTCTGTCTGTCTGTCTGTGTCTCACTCTCTCTCCATGTCCTGCTGGTTGCAGACTGATTTGGGCTTGTGGAAAGTCATGTAGCGGTGAATGTGGCTAACTCAGCATGACAGACTCCAGTATTTTTCCAGCAGCTGTATTACAGGTTAAATCAGTGCGGAGTATGGAAATGGAACGCATGAATAATATACAAGTGGCTTTAGCTCTAAAGGATTCGCCAGGATCTGCTCTTTGCTGTATATTCTGACTCTGTAGAGTTCACATCATATATAATGGTACTCATGGGAAATTCCTGACTATTTATTCATCATTCTTTATACCATAGCAAGGTTGAATTCTCAAATCAGATTTGTCAGAACGTGTTGATTCATTTTCTATAACAGGACAGATTTAGAATAGAATGGATTATTTTTTTCTATGGTAACAGCTAATAACCTGGGTCTTGTATGGCAGATGCCCGACATTATCTAAGACAAATAATAAGCAGATTTTTAGAAAAACCTACTATCATTGATATGGGGAACGTTTTAAGAAGGGGTCTCCAGTGCCAGCTGTAATGATAATGAGTCTTTATTGGTCACATATACAGTAGAGCACAGTGAAATTGCTTTTATCGCATACCCCAGCCTGTCAGGAACCTGGAGCAGAGAGGGTTAAGGGCCTTGCTCAAGGGCCCAACAGTGGCATCTTTGCAGTGCTGGGGCTTGAACCCCCGACCTTCCAATCAGTAGGCGAGTGCCTTAACTGCTAAGCCACCACTGCCTCCAAGTTTTCCTATATATGTAACTAACAATTAGCAAACTTCAAGACAAAGCAAAGGAATCGCTGTTTCTAACAGGAACTAACTTGTTTCACGGACTACAAGGTACACTGCTTGCAAACTTCTGAACCTAAACAGAAACTACTATTTGGCAAATGACTGCTATGAACTTTGGTGAAATGTTGGATTACTGCACCCTAAGCGCTATTCACATTGCTCTTCATGGTGCTCGTTTACACACTCTTCATCTGATGCCATCAATATCCCTTCATATCAGCATACATGTCATAGAGTGCTGTGCAGTGGTGTTGATTTTAACAACCTGACTGCGTCTTAAATGCACAGTTTTCTCCGTTATCCCCTGTGTTCCTGTACTCAGTGAAATTGGCGCTTTTTAATGCGCGCTCTGTGAACAATAAGGCTGCCATTTTGTTTCTGTAAAGCTGTTTTGAGACAATGTCCATTGTTAAAAGTGTTATACAAATAAAACTGAATTGAATTGTCATTTTATCTGACCTTGTCACAGAAGGAAAGCTTGACCTTGTGTGTTTAATTGAATCTTGAATCTGTTGCACAAACAGTCTGATTCTGATGGACTTTTGTTTAATGAACTTACTCCTATAGGCTATGGGTTGTTTGACACGAACCTCTGGCAGAGGATGTGGCACCATTGTACTGCATAATCAACTATACAACATGAGTCCCGTAGCTATTCCCCACGGGTTTGATTCGTTTGAATGTCTCGTTCTGAGTGCCTCCGCACCCCTCACTACTTCCATAGCTACAGTCTACTGGCCTCCTAAGACAAATATGAATACATTTTTGATCAGAATCTGCAGATGTTCTGTCTATGTTGAGCAAATAACCCTTTAACCCTTTCTCTCAATCACGTTTGAGAGAATTCTTATCCTGGGGGACTTTAACATCCACGTGGACATGAAAGACTGTAATGACTAAGTATTTTCTGTCTTTACTGGAGTGCTTTGATTTGAAACAGCTTGTTGACTGTGCTACACATCCACAATAGAGGTCACACATTAGACCTTGTGATTGCAAATGGATGACTTGTATCTCAGCTGTCTACTGCATATTTAGGGCTGTCTGATCATTTGGCTATCTTTTTTAATATGGAACACCCACACACTAACATCATTTGCGATAATATTAATTAACACAAATGGAAATCCATCGATCTGTCTGATTTTAATGGCTTCATTGACTCTTCTTGAAGCTGATTTTCACCATCTGACCATCTGAAGGACAAAATTTCCATGTTAAATGCTGTTCCCTTGTCTGGCTTGGATTAATTTGCTCCTATCAAATCACGCTCTGTCTCTTTTGCATGCTCCGCTCCTTGGTACAATGATGCTCTGCATCCTACAGTATGATGGCAGCTTGTTGCAAAATAAAGCGAAGGTGGCTTCTCTCTTGCCTGAACATGCATCACCAGGCTTGGAAAAACCATTTGCATGAATACAAGGCTAAAATTATATTAGATCCTATTATTTCTCTCAGATCATTGTCAATAATCAAAGAAATCCCAGAGAACTGTTTCCTACCATAAACAAATTTGAAATGTAACAGTTCTCCTACTGTGCCTGCTTCAGCTCACCTTTGTAATAGGTATCTTGAATTCCTCAGCACCAAGATTGACAATGCTCGTAAATGCATTCTTAATACTCCTGTCTTTACTGTTTCCTATATTAGTATTTCTTATTTCTCTGGCACCTTTCTCTCAAATTTTTCCCCACTTGATGTGGTTTGACTTGGAAATGAGGTATCACATATGAAAGCTGTCACTTCTATCGTTGATCCTCTCCCAACCTGTTTGTGCGAGTCATGTTTTGCTTCATTGTGTCCTGTTGTCCTGAGTATAATAAATGACTCCCTGTACTGGTGTTGTGCCAGCAGCATTAAAACTCCTGTTGTAACCCCTGTACCTAAAAAGACAAATTTAGACTTTCGTCCCATTTCTAATCTTCCCTTCCTTGCAAAAATTCTGGAACATATTGTGGCCTTTCAACTATACACTCACCTTACTGTAAACTATTTCTTTGATCCCATTCAATCTGGTTTTCACAAACTCCACAGCACAGTCTTGTTAATGGCCTCAATTCTGATTCTTGTTGATCTCAGTGCTGCTTTTGACACTGAAGGTCATTCTCTACTACTCACTCATCTCGAAACAGTATTTTATGTTACTGATACTGCATTAAACTGGTTCAAGTCCTATCTCTAAGACCGTCAGAAGTTTGTTTCCTTGGGTAGACGTAGGTCCAATGTTGGCATGTTTAAATGTGTTCCTCAGGGATCGATTTTGGGTCTTCTACTTTTACATGTTTCCCCTTGGTCAGCTTGTAAGATCTCTTTGTTTTAGTTATCATTTTTACTCAGATGACACCCAGATTTATACTCATTCAAAACTCTGTGATTGTGTATCTGTTGACTTTTTTGCGCAGTGTATTACTGAGATAAAGGAATGGATGTCTCTTTAGATGTAAATCTCTGCCTCTCAAATAAATTTTCTTTGTCATAACAGTGAGGTCATGCTCATTGGTTCACCCCACCAGCTCCGGAGTAGTTGATCCATTAACCTTAAATATGGATGGCTCTGCACTTGAATTTCAAACTAAATTGAAGAATTTAGGGGTGATCTTTGATACAAATGTAGTATTTGATCCTCATGTCAAGAATCATGCTTTCATCTCAGAAACATTGCAAGACTGCGCCCCATGTTATCTTTCTCTGTGACTGAAAAACCGAGCAATACTTTTGTATTCTCCCAAATTGATTATTGTAATGCTTTACTTGTTGGAGTCTCCAAATCCACATTAAATAAGTTGCAGTGTGTGCAAAACTCTGCCGCTAGAATCTTGACTAGGACAGGTGATCACATCACTCTTATTTTGGAGTCCTTGCTCAGGCTCCCAGTCAAGTTGTGTGTAGATTTTAAAATTATTATGCTTATGTACAATGCTTATGTACTTGTCTGAACTTTTAACCCCATACATTCCAAAATGTGACCTTTGATGTTGGCTTGTTAACTGTTCCCACTTCTTGTTTATGCTCTATGGATGACAGGGTCTTCTCTTCTTTCTTTTAAAATCTGCTCTGAAAACGCACTTTTTTTTAGTTGCTTTTCTGTGATTATGTGATTTTATTGGGGGTTTTTTTGTTGTTGTTCTTATTGCATGTTTTCTCTTCTTTTATATTTCATTGTATTTTTATTTATTCTGTTGTAAAGTACTTTAAGATGCAACTCTTAAATGTGTTTCTGAAAATACAGTTTTATTATTATTATTATTATTATTATTATTATTATTATTATCCATCCATCCATCTTCTACCGCTCACTCCTTTTCAGGGTCACAGGGAACCTGTAGCCTATCCCAGGGTATTATTATTATTAATATTATTATTATTATTATTGTTGTTATTATTATTATTATTATTATTATAAATGGATAGAAGTTACATGTCCTTCTTTAATAAATCACTGACAATTTGCGGTGGTAGAGGAGGAATAAAACCCTTGGCATGTGATGTCACCCAAGCTGCATCACACAATCCTTTCATTGATTCTTTTCCTTTAACAGCACTCTCAAAGTTTTTTAATCCATCCTGTATTCAAGGAGGCGCTGCAATGCTTTGGTACCCCATCTAGGGTGTCCCCTGTCTGTTGCCCCAAGACCCCTGGGATAGGCTCCAGGCGACCCTGCGACCCTGTAGAGGATAAGCGGTACAGAAAATGGATGGATGGATGGATGGATATATTCTAGAAGCTCTAAGCTATAGACACTTCTTAGTAATTAAACCCAAATCTATATACTGTTTTTGATATTTTTTCACAACAATATAATAACAATCAAAGCTCTTCTTAGGTTTTTGGTCAGTTTTCATTTGAATGGTATGTAATATAGTTTGGTCCAGGCCCAGTCTGAGGGGGCGGATGAAAGGGGCTGAGTGGACATGCAGTAAATCTCCCTCTTTTAAAACTGTCATCCCATTTTCCCTGTTATATTACAGTTATCATTATTTTAATTCCGTCCACGTGTGAGATTTACACGCCATGTCGCCATGGATGTTTCAGCACTTCTTCATGTCAAACCCAGAAATTAAAACACTGGCTAAAACACACACAAACACACACACACACACACACACACACACACGCCTACATCCTGTGGAGGTAGCAGGTTATGTAGTAAATGCACAAATATTAGTAATGTAAAGTAGTACAGTAGCTAACAGTTCAAATAAAACACAGAGACATGGTTGTAGAGTTCAGGCTCTTTCATTTGTGTTGTAAAACTGAGAGAGAATGAATGCTGCTTGTATGTTATTTTAGCTAGCTAGTGCTGCCCTTAGTGTAGCATGCAACAACAAGTTAATCCTCAAATATTCTGTTTCCCAGGAATACACCTAGGTGACTAACTCAAATGCATTAGCATACTATGAAAAAGGGGGGAGGGGAGGGGGGTATACACCAGATACACCAGAGTTTAAAGGAATTTTCTTAAAATATTAATGTTATTTATATTAATATATTAATATTAATGCTAGCTAGCTAATCAATATAGCCAATACCGTACAATACAAGCCACTTTAGTTTGCTAGCATAGGGCGTAATTGGAGGAGAGGTGTATGGGGCATAAAACTGCTATCTTCTTAGTCCTGTTATCGAGGGCTATGTTTGTGGTTAGCATGTTTGCCACGTACCTCCAGGGTTGGGGGTTCCCACTTCTGTGTGCATGGACTTTGCATGTTCTCCCCTTGCTTTGGGGGTTTCCTAGGCATACTCCATTTCATACCCCAGTCCAAAGATGTGTAGTAGGCTGATTGGCCTTTCTAAATTGTCTGTAGTGTGTGTGTGATTGTGCCCTGTGTTGTTTTGGCACCCAATGGTGTCCCCTGCCTTGTGCTCCAGGTTCCCTGGAGGAAGCTCCAGGCTCCCCGTGACCCTGTGTAGGATAAACAGTACATAAAATTGATTGACTATCAC